GCGACAGAGCGAGACTCCATCTCAAAATAAATAAATAAATAAATAAATAAATAAATATATAAATGAATAAAAATAACACAAAGAATGGGAGGGGAGAAATTGAACTATACTGTTACACTCTACATAACATAGTATACTATTATGTAAATGTGAACCATGGTAAGTTAAATATATGTTTGGTAAATTAAAAGGTATGGCTAATAAACTAATTGTGGAGACAAAATGTTATTCAAATATTTGATTCATCAAAAAGAAAGCAGAAAAACTGGGGAAGGAACAGTAAACAGATAAGGAACATAGGAAACAGAGAGTAGCCAGGTACAGTGGCTCACACCTGTAATCCCAGCACTTTGGGAGGCTGAGGTGGGCTGATCTTGAGGTCAGGAGGTCGACACTAGCCTGACCAACATGGTGAAACCTCGTCTGTACTAAAAATATACAAACATTAGCCAGGCATGGTGGCGCGCTCCTGTAATCCCATCTGCTCAGGAGGCTGAGGCAGGAGAATCACTTGAACCAGGGAGGCAGAGGTTGCAGTGAGCTGAGATCTCACCATTGCACTGCAGCCTGGGTGACAGAGCAAGACTCAGTCTCAAAAAAAAAGAAACAAGACAAGAGAAAGTAAGATGTTAGACTTAAACCAAACTATATCAATAATTATCTTAAATGTAAATACTCTAAACATTCCAATTAAAAGGTAGAAATTGTTGTATTATTTAAAGAAAAGCAAGATCCAACTATACGTTTGCTACAATAAATTTGCTTCAAATGTGAAGACACAGTTAAGTTAAAAGCAAAAGGACGGAAAAAGATATGCCATGCAAACGCTAACCAAAGAAAATAGGAATAGCTCTTTCACATCAAAGTAGACTTTACAACCTAAAAATTACAAGAGATAAAGAAGAACATTTTACAATGATAAAGGGGTTAATTCATCAAGAGGATATAATAGTTCTGAAAGTATAATAAACTAATAAAAGAACCTTTTTTTTTTTTTTTTCTTGAGATGGAGTCTTGCTCTGTTCCCCAGGCTGGGGTGCAGAGGCGTGATCTCAGCTCACTGCAACCTCTGCTTCCTGGGTTCAAGTGATTCTCCTGCCTCAGCCTCCCGAGTAGCTGGGACTACAAGTGCATGCCACTACACCCTGCTAATTTTTTGTATTTTTAGTAGAGATGGGATTTCACCGCGTTAGCCAGGATGGTCTTGATCGCTTGACCTCATTATCCACCTGCCTCTGCTTCCCAAAGTGCTGGGATTACAGGCGTGAGCCACCACACCCAGCCGAAAAAGAACTTTGAAATACAAGAGACAAAACCTGATAGAATGAAAAGGAGAAATAGACAAACCTACAAGTGTGGTTGGAGATTCAACACTACTTTCTCAGTATTTTTTTTTTCTTTTCTTGAGGTGGAGTCTCGCTCTGTTGCCCAGGCTATAGTGCAGTGGCACATTCTCAGCTCACTGCAACCTCCACCTCCTGGGTTCAAGCAATTCTCTTGCCTCAGGCTCCCAAGTAGCTGGGATTATAGGTGCCCACCACCACACCCAGCTAAAATTTGTATTTTTAGTAGAGACGGGGTGTCACCATGTTGGCCAGGCTGGTCTTGAACTCCTGACCTCAGGTGATCCACCTGCCTGGGCCTCTCAAAGTGCTGGGATTACAGGCATGAGCCACTGCACCCAGCCCTACTTTCTTAGTAATTATAGAAGTAGACAAAAAAGTAAACAGTCAAGACGTAAAATGCTTGAGCAATCCTATCAACCAAAGTGATCTGATTGAATTTATAGAACACTCCACCCAACAACAGTAGAATACATATGTTTTTCTTTTTTCTTTTTCTTTTTGAGATGGAGTCTTGCTCTATCACCCAGGCTGGAGTGCAGTGGCACCATCTCGGCTCACTGCAAACTCCACCTCCCGGGTTCATGCCATTCTCCTGCCTCAGCCCCCCGAGTAGCTAGGACTACAGGCAGCCACCACCATGCCTGGCTAATTTTTTTGTATTTTTAGTAGAGACAGGGTTTCACGTGTTAGCTAGGATGGTCTCCTGACCTCGTGATCCGCCCGCTTCGGCCTCCCAAAGTGCTGGGATTACAGGCGTGAGCCATCATGCCTGGCCCTATGTATGTTTTCAAGTGAATACAAAATATTTATCAAGATAGACCATACCCAGGGCCAAAAAATAAGTCACAATATAATTTGAAAGGATTAAAACCATACAGAGTATGGCCAGGCACGATGGCTTATGCCTGTAATCCCAGCACTTGGGAGGCCAAAGTGGGCGGATCACTTGAGGTCAGGAGTTGGAGACTAGCATGGCCAATATGGTGAAACCCCATCTCTACTAAAAAATATGAAAATTAGCTGTGTGTGGTGGCCTGTGCCTGTAATCCCAGCTACCTGGGAGGCTGAGGTGGGAGAATTGCCTGAACCCAGGAGGTGGTGGTTGCAGTGAGCCGAGATCGAGCCACTGCACTCCAGCCTGGGTGACAGAGTAAGACCCTGTCTCAAAAAATAAAATAAAAATAAATAAAACCATACAGAGTATATCCTCTGACTATAATGTTATTAAACCCAGTAACAGAAAGATATGTGGAAAATCCCCAAATATTTGGAAATGAAATATGCTTCTTAATGACCTATGGGTAAAAGAAGAAACCACAAGGGCAATTAGAAAATATTTTGAATTGGATAAAAATAAAACACAATATTGCAAAATCTGTGAGAAGCAGTTAAGAATCAAGGAAATTAAGAGTATCAGATGCTTATAGTAGAAAAGAATGAAGATCTCAAATCAGTGATCTATGTTTCCATCTTATGAGACTAGAAAAAGAAAAGCAAAGTAAACCCAAAGTAAGCAATGGGAAGCAAAAATAAAGATGAACAAAATAATTAGAGAAAACCCCTCACCAGCCTGGACAACATGACAACATAGCAAGACTCCAACTCTACAAAAAAAAAATTTTTTTAAATTAGCCAGGCATGGTGACATGTGCCTGAGGTCCCAGCTACTCAGGAGGCAGAGGCAGGAAGATCACTTGAGCCAGGGAGGTTGAGGCTGCAGTGAACTGTGATCCTGCCATTGCACTCCAACCTAGGTGACAGAGTGAGACCCAATCTCAAAAAAAAAAATAAAAAAGAAAAGAAAAGAGAAGAAATAACCCCTCGACAATAGAGGAATCAATTACTCTAAAGCCAATTCTTTGAGAAGATAATATTGAAAAACTTCTCGTCAGACTGAATAGAAAAAAAAAGAAGACACACCAATATCAGGAATGAAAGAGGAAACATCACTACAGATGGTACAGATAATATAAAGATAATGAGGGAATATTCTGAACAAGTTTATGTCAATAAATTCAATAACTTGGAAGGAAGGGAAAAATTATTTTGAAAGGAAGACCGATGTTCACTCAAGAAGAACTAACCTGAATATTCATTATAATTATTAAGGAATTTGAATTCTGATTACAAACCTTTCCACAAAGAAAACTCCCAGCCAGATGGCTTCACTAGTGAATTCTATCAATCACTGAAGAAAGTAATGGTACAAACTGACATAAACTCTTCCAGAAAACAGGAGTAAATACTTTGCAACTTCTACTATGAGGTGAGCATTATCCTGTTTCCAAAACAAAGACAAAGATATAAGAATAAAAAAAAAAAACTATAACCAATATCCCTCATAAACAGAGATGAAAAAAGTCCTTACACTATATTAACAAATCAAATTTAGAAATATGACAAAATAATAAGGAAAATGCATCGTGCTCAAATGGGGCTTATCCTATGAATTATGCAAGATTTGTTTAACATTCAAAAATTGACAATGTTGATTTATCATATGATTCAAGCAGAAAAAGAAAACAATATGATCATGTCAATAAATATAGAAAAGCATTTGACAAAATTCAACACCCATTTATAATAAAATTTCTCAGCAAACTAGGAATAGAAGGGAATTTCTTCAATCTAATGAAGAGTGCTTATGAAAAACCTTCACTTAATAACATAGTTAATGGTGAAGACTGAATGTTTTCCCCTAAAATTAGAAACAAGAGCAACATTGTCTGTTCTTACCGCCTCTATTCAATATTAGAATAGCAGCCAGGTGCAATGAATGGCTCATGCCTATAATCCCAGCATTTTGGGAGGCTGAGGCGGAGGATCACTTGAGTCCAGGAGTTCGAGACCAGTCTAGGCAACATGGCGAGGCCCTGTCTCTACAAAAACAAACAAACCAACCCAATATTGTACTAGAGGTCTCAATCAGTGAAATAAGGGAATAAAAGTGAATTAAAAACTTCCAAATTAGAAATGAAGAAGTCAAATTATCATTATTCACAGACAACATGATTATCTATGTAAAAAATCCAAAAGAAACTTTTAAGAAGCTACTGGAACCAAGAAGGATGTTTAGGAACATCACAGGATAAAAGGCTAATATACACATATCAGTTGTATTGTTTATATACTGTACTAGCAACAACCAACTATAAATAGAAATTTAAAACACAGTACCATTCATTGTATCATCAAAAACATGAAATACTTAGGGATAAGTTTTACAAAATATTTGTAAGACCTAAACTTGAGCACTTAAAACTATAAAATATTGTTTAGAAAATTTTAAGAAAACATACATAAATACACATATTTTCCATGTTCATAGATCAGAAGACTGAATTTTTTTTTAAAGAAAATTTTTGTGGTTTTATAGTATCATAAGGCATTGAGACATCTGAACAAATCAATGTCTGGGTGGTGAGGGAGCTGCTTTCTCCTTCACTTCTTTGGGTTACTAAAGCAACTTGTCAGTAGATTAAAACAAACAAACAAACAAAAAAAGGACAACTTTTGCATTACTTAAGTCTTTCCAAGGCACGCGCTGGTACAACACAAACTTCTCCTATCAGATGTAAGTAGTCTAGCGTCCAAACATCATGCACAACACCTCGGTGGCAGCAGCGCACTGTGCCCACTCCCGCTGCAGCCCTGCTTATTTGTGCATGTTATTTGGGGCATCTGGAGGAGTAGGAACAGTATTGGGAAGAGGAGGGAGGAGGAAACAGCGTTAGTGCCTGGCTGAGAGGAGGTCAGCCGAAGTTGTGCAGGGCAAGCCTGAACATGTCATCGGTGCAAACCCAAGCAACCTGGATGTTCTTTAATAGGAACATCTGGTGGAACCCCATGATGGGGTCTTTATCTGCCTTAAGCTGGCCCACAACCATGCTAATGATGAAGCTATCTGGTATAGGCTGATGGTCCTGCGCCATGAGGCTGTGCTGGATTTTCTGGAACGGAAGGCTGGACAATTTCTCCACAATGGCAGCTTTCCCCTGGAACTGTTGTCCTTCCCATGTAAGGCATGACGCATCAATGTAAACTGCGCTTAGTTGCGTTCTATCGTTACCAAATAACTGGTAGTAATGTTGAATGAAGCTGGATCCAATCGGCTCCCAAACTGGCTTGTCTCCCATTCTTGAGCGTCACCTGGCCTTGCGGAGACCTGAGGGGCTGGCAAGACGGTGGCAGCGGTGGCAGCAACCCAGAGTGGTCCTGAATATTAAGATACCAGTTTTCAGGCCGGGTGCGGTGGCTCACGCCTGTAATCCCAACACTTTGGGAGGCCAAAGGAAGGTGGATGACCTGAGGTCAGGAGTTCGACACCAGCCTGACCAACATGGTGAAACCCCGTTTCTGGCCGGGCACGGTGGCTCAAGCCTGTAATCCCAGCACTTTGGGAGGCCGAGACGGGCGGATCACGAGGTCAGGAGATCGAGACCATCCTGGCTAACACGGTGAAACCCCGTCTCTACTAAAAATACAAAAAACTAGCCGGGCGAGGTGGCGGGCGCCTGTAGTCCCAGCTACTCAGGAGGCTGAGGCAGGAGAATGGCGTAAACCCGGGAGGCGGAGCTTGCAGTGAGCTGAGATCCGGCCACTGCACTCCAGCCCGGGCTACAGAGCAAGACTCCGTCTCAAAAAAAAAAAAAAAAAAAAAAAAAAGAAACCCCATTTCTACTAAAAATACAAAAACTATCCAGGCGTGGTGGCAGGTGCCTGTAATCCCAGCTACGTGGGAGGCTGAGGCAGGAGAATGGCTTGAACCCAGGAGGTGGAGGTTGCAGTGAGCCGAGATCACACCGTTGCACCCCAGCCTGGGTGACAAGAGCAAAAACTCGGTGGAAAAAAAAAATCGGTTTTCCCAGAATTAAAACTATAGTTTCAATGCAAACCCCTTCAAAACCCAGCAAGATTTTTGTAGAACTTCACAAGCTAATTCTAAAACTGATATAAAAATATGAAGAACCTAGAAGAGTCAAAGCAAGTTTTAAAGAAAACAGTATTAGAAGGCTTTAAGACTTACTACAGTAATCAAGACAGTGTGGTGTTGCTGTAAGGACAGACACATACATCTAAGGAACAGAATTGAGAGTCTAGAAATACAGTTTCTTAGGTTAGGAATTCAGAGGCATCTTAGACTCATGGTTCTAGTTCAGGCCTTCTCCTGAGGTTGCACATCAAGATGTTGGCTGAGGCTAGTCACCTGAATGCTTCACTGGGACTGGAGGATCTACTCCTAAAATGGCTCACCTACCTGTCTGGCAGGTAGCTGCTGGTGTTGCCATGAGGCTTCAGTTCTTCACCACATAAGACTTCATAGAGTGGTTTGAGTTTCCAGCTGGCTTCCCTGGATGAGTGATCCAAGAGAGATCAAGATAGAGAGCAAGGTAGAAGCCAATGTTTTTACGACCTAATGTTGCTAACTTTTACTCCCTAATTTTTGCAAAATTGTATTGATTACACAAGTCAACCAAGGCAACCAATGCAGTAGGAGGGGACTACACAGAGGCCTGCATACAGGTGGCATTCATTAGGTGCCATCTTCAATTCTAGCTACCACAGGTTCTAAAGTAACTTAATGGAAAAGGGTAGTCTGTTCAATGAATCATGCTGGAACAATGGGATATCCACACAGAAAAAAATGGACCTCAGGCTGGGCGTGGTGGCTCAAGCCTGTAATCCCAGCACTTTGGGAGGCCGAGACGGGTGGATCACAAGGTCAGGAGATCGAGACCATCCTGGCTAACCCGGTGAAACCCCGTCTCTACTAAAAAATACAAAAAACTAGCCGGGCGAGGTGGCAGGTGCCTGTAGTCCCAGCTACTCGGGAGGCTGACGCAGGAGAATGGCGTAAACCCGGGAGGCAGAGCTTGCAGTGAGCTGAGATCCGGCCACTGCACTCCAGCCTGGGCGACAGAGCGAGACTCCGTCTCAAAAAAAAAAAAAAAAAAGTGGACCTCAACCTTTACCTCACACCATATGTAAAATTTAACTTGAAATAGATCATAGGCCTAAACATATGGGCTAAAACTATAAAACTTGTAAGAAGAAAACAAAGGAAAAAAAATCTATGCAAACCTGACATAAGGCAAAAGATTTCTTAAGACCTCAAAATCACAAACCATAAAAGAAGATAATGATTATTGGATTTCATCAAGACTAAAACTAACTCTTTGAAACGGTTATGAAAATGATGAGGCAGGCCAGGTGCGGTGGCTTGTGACTGTAATTCCAGCACTCTGGGAGGTTGAGGTGGGGAGATCATGAGGTCAGGAGTTCGAGATCAGCCTGGCCAACATGGCAAAACCCCATTTCTACTAAAAAACACAAAAATTAGCCAGACATGGTGGTGCGTGCCTGTAATCCTAGCTACTGGGGAGGCCAAGGCAGGAGAATCGCTTGAACCCAGGAGGTGGAGGTTGCAGTGACATGAGATCACGCCACTGCACTCCAGCCTGGGTGACAGAGCAAGACTCCCTCTCAAAAAAACAAAAACAAAACAAAACAAAAAAGGCTGGGTGTGGTGCTTCACGCCTGTAATCCCAGCACTTTTGGGAGGATCACCTGAGGTTGGGTGTTCAAGACCAGCCTGACCAACATGGAGAAATCCCGTCTCTACTAAAAATGCAAAATTAGCCGGGCATGGTGGCATGTGACTATAATCCCAGTTACTCTGGAGACTGAGTCAGGAGAATCGCTTGAACCTCGGAGGCAGAGGTTGCAGTGAGCTGAGATCACCCCATTGCACTCCAGCCTAGGCAACAAGAGTGAAACTCCGTCTCGAAAACAAAAAAAAGAAAAAAAAAAAAAGAAAAAGAAAATGATGAGGCAAGGCACAGACTATGAGAAAATATATGCAAAACATAAATAAGGGAGTTATATTCTAAATATATAGAAAACATTTACAGCTCAGTAATATAAAACAAATAACCTGATAAAAATGAGCGAAATATTTGAACAGACATTGCAGTAAATAAGATATATACATTTTTAAAACAAACACATCTTAAGATGCTCAACGTAATTATTTGAAAAATGAAATTTAAAAATACAGTAAGATACCACTGGCCACCCACTAGCATAACTAAAATTAAAAAGAATGGCAGGCCGGGCGCGGTGGCTCAAGCCTGTAATCCCAGCACTTTGGGAGGCCGAGACAGGCGGATCAAGAGGTCAGGAGATCGAGACCATCCTGGCTAACACAGTGAAACCCCGTCTCTACTAAAAAATACAAAAAACTAGCCGGGCGAGGTGGCGGGCGCCTGTAGTCCCAGCTACTTGGGAGGCTGAGGCAGGAGAATGGCGTAAACCCGGGAGGCGGAGCTTGCAGTGAGCTGAGATCCGGCCACTGCACTCCAGCCCGGGCGGCAGAGCGAGACTCTGTCTCAAAAAAAAAAAAAGAATGGCAATACTAAAAATTGGTGGCTATGTGGAGATGACTGGAGCTTTCATGTACAATTGGTGGGAGTGTAAAATGCTTCAGCCACTTTAGAAAATAGTTTTGCAGTTTCTTACAACATTAAAAGTATATTTTCTGATATGATCCAGCAATTCCATTTCTAGCTATGCACCCAAGAGAAATGAAAATATAGTCACACAGACTTGAACAAATATTCCTAACAGCTTAATTCAAAATAGCCCAAACTGGGAAAAAGTCCAAATGTCTATGGACAAGAGAAAGGGTAAACAAATTGCGGTACAACCGGACAATGCAGTATCAGCAATAAAAAAGCCGGGCGCGATGGCTCACACCTGTAATCCCAACACTTTGGGAGGCCAAGGTGCGTGGATCACCTGAGGTCAGGAATTCGAGACCAGCCTGGCCAACATGGTGAAACCCCGTCTCTATTAAATAAATACAAAAATTAGCCGAGTGTGATGGCAGGTGCCTGCAATCTCAGCTACTCTCGGGAGGCTGAGGCAGGAGAATCGCTTGAACCCAGGAGGCGGAGGTTGCAGTGAGCTGAAATCGTGCCACTGCACTCCAGCCTGGGCGACAGAACGAGACTCCATCTCACCAAAAAAAAAAAAAAAAAAAAAAAAAAAAAAAAAGAAAGAAAAGTAAACTACTGATCTTTCCAACAATAGGGAGGAGTCTCAACAACATTAAGCTAAGTGAAAGTCAGACACAGAGCTCATAGTGTATGATTCCATTGATATGAAACTCCAGAAAATACAAAAACATAATCTATAGTAGAAGAAAGCAGCCCAGCGGTTGCCTAGAACTCAGGTGTGTGGGATGGGGTGAATAGAGGGACACAGGGTAGTCTGGGATGACGGCACAAGGTGATTGTTGAGGACATGGAAATGTTCTGCATCTTGATCATGGTAGTGGAGTGTGAATGTGTCAAAATGTATCTAAATATCCACTTAAAGTGGGTGCATTTTATTGCATGTAAACTATACTTCAACAAAGTTGAATTTTTTAAAAAATAAGAAGGCATAGCTTTCCAACGAGTTTCAATTTGAATAAACAATATCTGCAGCTTTTGTGCCTTCCCATGTGTACACCCACAGGGCCCTGGGCCTTCCTGCGTTGAGACTTTCTCGGGTGCCACAGGGCCTGGCATTGAGAGGAATCCAAGGTTAACACCATTAGCCTGCGTGGATTGCGGGCCGCGAAGCCGGCAGAGGAAGCGCTAGTTTAGTCACAGCTGCAGGCCTCAGCGGTCGCAATCCTGCCACGAGGGGTTGCTGCGCACCCGGAGGCCAGAGGTCCAGACGACAGACCCCAGACGCGTCCTTTCCACCTGCTCCCGGAGGACCCCGAACGCCGCGCCCACTCGGCGGAAGCCGCCGCATCTCGAACCTGCGTTAATCGGGGTCTGCGGGACCTACACGATGGACGCGGGCCACCAGGCCCCAGGAACGAGAGAGGAGCCCGGCGGGCAAGAGCAGCCTAGGGCGTGCGCCCGTCGCGGGGGTTGGAAAGGAGAAGCCTCTGCCGGGCGAGGGGACTTGCGAGGAGAAGACCCCTCCCAGCCCAACCAGGGTTGGGGACTGGTGACCCGCAAGGGCCCGTCGAGTTTGACTGATCCGCGCTGGGGCTCAGCCCTCTGCCTTCCGCTGTGGAGTCGCCCGGGGAGCCAGGAGCAGTGGGGCTGCCTCTCCCTTTTCCCCCAGCCCCAGGGCT